AATGTCTTTGGGATGCACACCATTTCCTTCTTCTTGTTCCATTCCCCTGATGTCAGTAAATGTGAAAGGAAAGTAAGACCCTGCTTTCTTTCTCAGGTTAAACTGTTTGCACTGGAAACAAAAAACAAACGTACACTTAAAGTGAAAGTGAAGTGACGTGTGGCCAAGTATGGTGTCCCATACTCAGAATTTGTGCTCTGCATTTAATCAATTTAATCCAAGTGCACACACACCCGGAGCAGTGGGCAGCCAATGCTGCGGCACCCGGGGAGCAGTTGGGGGTTCGGTGCCTTGCTCAAGGGTCTCACATCAGTCATGGTATTGAAGGTGGAGAGAGCGCTGGATATTCACTCCCCCCACCGACAATTCTTGCCAGACCTGAGACTCGAACCCACAACCTTCAGGTTACAAGTCCAACTCTCTATCCAGTAAGCCACGACTGCTTACATACTGTATTTCTTAAAGTTCTTCAGATAACTGGCCTCTATTTGAACCAGAATTTTTTGTTCTTGAATCATTCAGCCTTTTGAACAAATGAATGATTCAGTGGCTCTCTTGCAAATATTGTCAATTTTTTAGTTCCTGAATCAATCAGTGTTCAATTAATTTCATCCAAAAATAGTTGCTTGTCACACCTATTGGTTTACTGATGTAACCTGCAAGCCCCAGTGCTGTTGGAATAAATAACATTCTATGACCCAAACTATTTTCTATATATGAAATGCTTTTACCTCCATAGTGAAACTTTTACCACTTAATGAATCTGCCAGGGCTCTGGTGGTGATGCGGTCCTGGAGAACATTATCCATAGAGTTGAAGAAGCTGGATTTTCCAGCACCTACTGGTCCATGCAGAAGCATTCTGAGAGTATTGACCTCTGTGCTCCCAGTTTTGAAATTGTTTAGAGTTCTCAAAAGTTGTTGCTTCTCAGCTTCACTATAAATTAGTTAAGGAAAAAAAGTGAAAGATGGAAATTACAATCTGAGCTATAAATTGCATTTGCCCAGTATTTATTGTTAGAGTGTGTGAAATACTGGAAATCAATGGGCTCATAACTCACGTCCAGCTGACTGTCCTCCATGGTTTATCCAACTCTGTTTAACCATAAATGAATTTTAGAAAGTGTAGAAACACTTTTTGATGTTGTTTTCTATGTTTTCCTTAAATTTACACGAGTCATCTTTTTTTCTTTTTCTTTTTTTGCATGAAGTCCTTAGGCAACACTGCTTTTCGTGAATTGTCATTTAGATGTTGATATTCACTCACTTCTACTAGCTAAATGAGTGGATAAAATTAAACTTTGAATATGATGGCTTAAGGTCAGCTATTTGTTTTTAAATTAATAGCATGCGTCAACCACACATTTTAATTCAATCACAACTTGACATTTTAAATCTATTTCTGAAATATGTAAATATATATGGATTTAAAGGCAGGGTATGTGATTTTTCAAAAACACTTTAGAAAACTGATTCGGGCCGAATCTTTCCAGCATGAAATGTAATTTCAATTCCTTTTATATATTGACAATTTCTGTCATAATAATGAGAAAATGACATACCCTGAGATGGAGGGCGTAGTTTTCGAAGAAAAAATGCCATCGTAGTAATGTTTGGTACTACTAAAATTAAGAATTAGGATACACAATCTCCTCAAATTAACAATAAAAGCTGGAAATGTCAAATACTTAAATGCCAAATATATATACCAATTACTGTCAAATATTTGTCAAATGTCAAATATTTAAATTCATACATCAGTTTAATCAGTCATCTTTATCACACAAAATATATGAATAGAAAGCCAAAAAAGAAGAACGAATTTTAATTTTAAAAGTAAAAGTTTAATTTGACTTACTTGTTTTAGAAAACAGGAGTCTGTTTGTCTTTTACTGTGCTAGGTCAGTCCTGTCCTATACAGACTAAATCAGTCTGAATCCGTGTGAGGACTTTGCTTTCTGTTTCTACAAAACGTACCTTGTTTACATAATAACTGCATAAAGAAATATAAATAGATCTACTTGCAAATCAGTCTGAAATTTGTTTAAAATGTTTCCTCATACATTTCTCACTATAGTGACTAAATAGAGTAAATAATTTAAGTTTGATTTCATCTGCTCACTTCTCTGATGTTAATGCTCCAAGGAAATCCAACAGGAACAGGCTTTAACGATCTGGCACTGTAGATAGCCTATTTGAGGAAAAAGCTCAGTAATAAGGGTTCTCTGAGATGGTTAGAGCATATGTATTTTTTTCTACAGTATGCTAGAAAATTAAAAAAATTCATGAAAATGTTTACATTTGCAAAAAATCTGATTACTAATGAAAATAATTCTTTAAACCCAAACATTCCTCCCAAATCAATTAAAAGTAGTCAACGTCAGTAAAACTGAATAGGGGAGAGTGGGGACGGTTGCAACGAGGGGCAATTGCAACATGGCTTATTTCTTCAATCAGGAATGAGCTACAGTGATGATATTCCTACTGCACATGCTCAATTAGCCCATCATTCTTCCTAGAAGAAATCAGCCACATGTGAACATTCCTTCTACAAAAAAAAATCATTTTCATGGTAGAAAAGTCATTTTTTTATGATCAGATTTTTGTCATACTGTCTAAGCTCTTTGCGTAAATCATTGTAAAGTCATATCACTTTAATCAGTGTTTTCTGAGCTTAGGTGTATAGGCATAGCTAGTGTGTGTCAAATATATTGTGTCAAGCTACCAAGTTTTATGACAGTTGTCAGTGTAGGGACAGTTGCAACACTGTTGCAACCATCCCAACATGCTGTCCCTTACCACGATATTGATGTAAAAGCTTGGCATAACATTACAAAATGTTTAATTTTATGGATTAATAAAGAACCCCTATCAATAGTTGGGTATCTCTCCTTTTTTAAGTAAATAGGTTAAAAATCAGTTCAAGTCTAAGGTGGACTAATTTCCTTCACTCTCACCCTCTCTTTGTACTGTTTCAACTGTCCCCTGTTGTGGGGTCAGTTGTAACATTTGACTTTGTCTATTCAAATAGCCTATAAATTGTACATATATTGTCATAAGCACACGTTACAGCAGTGTGGGTGAGTAGCTGACAGATGTGGCTTCAGAGTCAGCCCAAGGCATAAGCGAACCATGCGGCTCAATTCAACACATTAAGTATTCCACTTAGTACTGTAAGACTTTGAATTCAAATTAACATCTAACCACTCTTGTGAGTCTGCTACTGTTATAATTTAAAATCATAGAAGGGTAAAAACATTGGTATGAAGTAAACAACACAGCTATACAACAAATACAATTATTATATTAAAATAATGGGTGTGTTGCAAATTATCAAGCATTGACAATAATCAGTCATATTGATGGCACCGAGGGGCCCCCAAATAAAATTCTGTTTAGGGCTCCATAAAGGCTTAGGCTGGCCCTGCTTGGCTTTATTGTATTAGTGGCTTTCCAATACAAACGGTCTCTGAAAAACTGAAGGAAATGCAAAAAGTGTTGCAACCATTCCCACTCTCCCAATAGTGTAACACTGCAAGGTTTCGGGAGTGACAAACACTGCAAAATGGTCAGCGATTCACAGTGATAACCACAGCGTTATGGTTTTGTATCTCGTGATGTAAATAAGAAACCTGGATGCCAGTAGTTTAACCGGTTTGGTTTTCCATCATTTTCAATCAAAGTAGCGACCAAAGAAAGGTACATTATATCCGGCAAGTTGCATAAACCGCCATTGATAGTGTCGTTGAATTCAGTTTGCTCTATTGTGTATGGCCATCTCTGCTTATTTTAAATGTAACCTATTTGGACTTGCTTTTTTCAAACAGTCGTTTAAAAATGTTTTCCCCCCCTATGTTATTTCTGGAGTGCATTCCCGTATTTGGATTTATTTCGCTTATGTTGGCGAGGCATTAATGTGGCTTTGTTTCATCAGACTGTTGTTTTTGAGGTCTGGCAACACCCTCTTAACCCGTAATAAACGAAACTTTGCAAACATGTTTCAAGCTCACATAAAGTCCCCGGTGTGTCTTGTAAAGATAATGGCAAAAATGCAAAATCATCATGACATTTTAAGTTTTAAATGTTGCAAATGTTGTAATATTTCCTCTTTTTCTCGCAGCTTCTGTACTATAAGTGTACTCAATTAATGTATAGCTATTTTTTTTCAATAATTCGTCCATATAACTTACCCAGACTTAATTATATTTAAAAAAAGAGATATAATTTTCATATTTTTTACTGCTGGAGAATGTGGAGAAATTTAGTTCTAACACACTAAACTTCTTCAATCACTCTGAACTCTGAGAGTGATGAGACTTACTCCTCATATGCAAAAATGTAAAAGCTATTATAGTTCTACTATTATCTAAAAGTTTAATGCCTTTGAATTCAAATTAATATCCATGTTTTCTGGGCTGTTTTTGGTTACTACCATACAAAACAGAGGCTGTGAGATCCTGAGCCAGCTGTAGCACTCATTATTAATATGAATATTTGAATCTTTAAAATGCACAATATTATTAAAAATTATTTAGTTAAAATATCTAGTTGATTAGAAATGAGCTATATTTATGACATATTTCAGTACAAAAGGATATTTTCAAATAATTATGTTGCACATTGTCTTTTCACATCACATTTCAGCAGGTAAAATGGAAGCAAACAGACCTCACTGTTTTATTTGCCATTAAATTGGTGACCATCTTGTAAAATATGATATCTGATCAGATAAATTGGTATTTACGTCTGTTAAAATGCAATCCTACAGCTTCAGTTAGTCACATTTCAGTTAGTCATGCTTTTAATTCAAATAGCTAACTAAGAATATTGCACTGAAATTCAAATGCAACACAATGTAACAACATAAATGAGGATGTATAGGTTTGGGTCTTGTTTACCAAATAAGGACTGATAGATTAACAGAAGTTTTCATTGGTGTTGAACCAGCTTTTGTGACTGAGCAACTGCGTATAAATGAAGCTGATTTCACAAGCAATGATCAGAGAAATACACCACGGGGTATTACAACTTGCTTAGTCGAATTTCGATTCACTTGGTATGACATTTTTCTACTGCATTTCCATTCTTAGTGTTTTAAAACTTGTTAATGCTTATATTCATTACATTATTTATAATAATGTTTATATTAATAGGACTTTGTCAGCATGTGGATTTCTGCAGCATTCCTTCTTTTTGCATTGGCTGTAAATGGAGACAAGTCTGAAGGTAAATGAACAAAATAGACTGAATTCCTCTACTTTTTTGCATCTCTTTAAACTGCAGATGATGATGAGGTTTGCAGTTTCTGCTTTCTTTGATGAACGTTCTTACATTCTTTTCATCAATCAGTAAGAACTAATACATTGTTTTAATTCATCTTTTTTGCAGATTCTTTCAGCATTGGTCGAAGATGCCCCACTGGCTGGGAGAAATTTGGAACAAAATGTTTTAAATTTTTCAGTGACTTAAAACCATGGGCTGCGGCAGAAGTAAGTTTGTGTTCTCTATAGATGCTACATGATTAGGAGCAAACCCCAAATTGTGTAATTAATCATACCGTACTTAAAAGTGCATTTTACACTATTGTAAAGCTAAAAATATAGACAGGTTCAAGCTCTAAAGGAAAAAAAAAAAGACAGTGTGTTTATGTTCATTTCATAATTGTGTTCTACAAAAATTGTTTAGTTTTTACATGGTCAAGGGTGTTTTGTTTTGTAAAGTTGTCAAGTGTTTAATGATCAAACAAAATCCTGTCTGTTTGTTATGCCATGCATTTTTCAAAGATTATGAAAAACTTTTTACGCTCCACTTTATTTTCAAGAATTTTAGCCTTTTTTCAGACTTCATTACGAATTAATTGCATTGCACCTAAATAACTCTTTATCCTGACAGAAACAATGTGTTGACCTCGGAGGAAACCTTGCATCTATCCACAATCAACTCACTCACAATTTCCTAAAGACCTTTCTGAAAAAATATGCTAATAAAATCCCCCGAACCTGGATTGGTGCTCATGATGCAACTAAGGTAACTGATTTTTCATTTCCATTAAATATCAATCCAACCAGTGTCAGATTAATGTAAAACAAAGTATAATTGAAAATGAACAGTAAATGTTTGTTGTTGAAAGTAAAAATTGTTGTCTTTTGTCAGATATACTGCTTGTGCTCTTTCACATTTTGTAAAAGCTGGTTTGCACTGCCCCAACAGACACCAGTAGAAGTTTCACACTGTTTATTTAAACATACCAGAGTTCCCATTTAAGATTAAAAGGAAAATAAAATGAGAAGCATCAACAGGTGGAAACAGCAACAAGTTCAGTAATGCTAATGTAATGTTCTTAGGATTATGTCTGGTTTTGGAGTGATGGATCAAAGTTTGAGTACAGTGACTGGCATACTGGTGAGCCAAATGGAAAAATAAATGAAAATTGCGTGGAGATGGGCTATGGAGGTAATATATACATGTTGTCCATATATTTAAAGCTATTTAACAACATTTTTATTTAGTATAAAACATGTAAAGGTTTTAAACCTTGCACATTTTATTACACATTTATATTTATGGCTTCCTGTTTGCACTAAAGCATATTTGACAGTTCATTTCCTGAATAACGTAACTGAATTTCCACAGCTGAGCAACGCTGGAATGATGCACACTGCAATACTCTTCTCAGTTTCATCTGTTCCAAAACGGCTAGAATTGATTTCTAACCCTAATTTTGATTGCTAAAATAATATCTCATGTTTTTGAATTTTAATGTCAATCTTTGCAAAAATAAAATAAAATGAAATAGACTTTAAACTGCAAATGTACATCTGTTTTTATTTGTTGCCCAGAATCACTCTCTTTTTGAGTTTTAAAGAAATCCTGTGGTGAAAATCATGTTTTTAATCCTGCTGGGGAAAAAAAATCTAAAACCAACCTAAGATGGTTGGCTGGTCTTAGTTGGTTCCAACGTGAAGTATGGGAGTGTTTTTTTTTTTTTTTGCTGTCCAGCTGAAGAAGTAGTCAAAATCCCACTAAAACCAGCTAAAACCAATCAGCCAGTTTTTTTTTTCTCAGCAGGGACATGTGTATCTGGTGTTTTTCATATGCTTTGTAGAGTTATATTTAAGCGAGCAATAATTTACACTGTTAAGTACGTAAATTGTAAAAAAAACTATTAAAGGTGCAGTAAGAGATTTTGGAAAATGCTAACTTTAGCCTGATAGCACTGAAAGCCAACGTCCCCACCCTCCCTGCAATCCGCCGTCCAAAGCCACGCAATACCAGAGACAATATTACTACAATAGGCTACATCAGCCTTTCTCAATTCCAGCCCATGTTCAGAAGTGAAGTAAACTTCAACAGATTTCCCCGGCTCAGGGAGTAGGGAGCAATGAACACTGTGCAGGGATCATATCGATCGGATAGGAAGGAAGGAAGGAAAGAAGGAAGGAAGGAAGCAGTAGCGGTTTTTGGCACGGGCGAACCGGGCAGCCGCCTGGGGCGGCATTTTTTCATGATACATGGGGGGCGGCACGAGCAGTTAAAACGAGCAGGGGTCCACTGTATAGAGCAATACTCTAATGGAATTAGTGGGCTAAAGTCAGTCACACTTCGACTTTCTTCCTAATAACGCACATTTCATTCAAAATATTATAAATACAGGCCTATAGTTCCTGCACATCTGGATACTGCACATCCTGCACAAATGGCTAATAAAATAGGTAATACAAAACGATTATGTGGTCACCAAGGTGAATTGTGTTAGTCTTGACTTCTGGTCGTGAGTGACAGTGTTGGGGGGATGGGAA